TAATCACCGGTAAAATTTGCTTTAATGAAGTAGATTTCGTCAACAAGAGAGATGCTTTCAGTTAAAAATGTCTTTTTGATTGATCATAAGTTCTACCTTGATAAGAAACGTTTCATAACATATGTATTCGGTAATCAAAGCAACTCCACCAGTAGCTCTCCTAGAGCTAGTGACGGTCTTAAGCCCGGGTAAGTGAGAAGGGTTGTGCAGGGAGTCAGCAACCCGATCCCGAAGAAAACAACCTTGCTAAAGAACGGTGATCAGATTAAATAAATTAAATCATTTAAAATCTGCCCTCTCAGTTGAAGGAAGAATTATCACGCCTCATGATGAAAGCCGAGATTTTTCGAATGTCAGAAAGTCGATGCCTCTTCTAACAACCTGAGCAACAATTTTTAAAGGTATATAGAATATTTGGACAGTGTGGGAGACTGAGAGGACCAACTTAATAGCTACTAAAATGAGGAGATACAATTTGTCAGTGCTCGAAATCAGTAAAACCACTTATACTTAAGCTCGACAGAGGAGATTTGATTAAGGAGATTTACTGCTATACTCTGATTACGAAGAAGAAGGAGCTTAGCGCACTCAGGTAGTCGCTCCGATGCTGTTCAATGAAGCACGAAATGCACTTATAGGATGGAAACCTCATGAATCCAGAATTATTAAAAGCATCCTTCAAAACAAAGAACTAGGGAATTACAATGAATGTTATCTTATGTTATACATTCATCAGAGATAGCAATGACGACAATAAAGATCAGTCCTATGAGAGGCTGCAATCGATCATAGCGAACTGTCCAGGACAGGACCTAACAACCCTGATTGAAGATCGAAACGCAGAAGTTGGAATGGAAAACAACGGTTATGAATATATTATCATATGGCTTGGACTAGGAGAAAGGAACGAGATTGGGGAGAGATTTGCAAATCTATGTGCATTCAATAAGATGGTTATAGGCGGCATAGTATTCCCACACAGACGCATACACAAAGCTACGTCAATCTCATTGGATCACACCACGGAGAACCAGATCAATCATATTTGCAACGGTAAAAATTCCAAATGGTCAATGGAAAACGTGAGTACCAGTGGAGGAGCTGACACAGCTTCAGATCATCATCTACCTTGTGGTTGCCAAGATGAAAGTGAAGCTTAAGAAGCATTGAAAAACTGGGGAAACAGCATTACAAAGTTCCGATACAGCTTTTCTTTCGAGATAATAACAAACTCAACGAGTTCAAGATAACTGTCAAAACACGTTCCAAGACTTAAAAAATCTACTCAACGAAGAAGAAACCATTGTGGAGGACGGCTGGAGAGGGATCAAAGAGGCACTAACTTAGACGTGTCAGGAGGTTCTAGAACGTATGAGGCATCATTATAAGCAATGGATCTATATGGAAACCCCAGACAGGATTCAACAAAGGAAGAACAAGATGACAGCAGTTAACAACAGCCGAAAAAGAACAAAGAAAGTCAATGCGCGAGCTGAATACACATAAGCAAACATGTAGGTGAAGAAGAGCATTAGAGCTGACAAGATGAAATACATGGAAGACCCAACAACGACAGTGGAAAAAGCTGTAAGAAATATGAGACAATTATGTGATATAATTGGGAAACTAGCCGGGAAATCAAGATGGTCAGTCATCAGACAAATCAACGTTGGTAAAGCAGCGTGACCTGACAATATACCAACCGAGGCACTGAAGTCAGACATTGAAGTAGAAACATGCTCCACGTTTTGTTTTTGAAAATTTGAGAGGATGAACGAGTGACGACAAACTGGAGAGAAGGATGTCTCATCAAGATAGCAAAGGAAGGAGATCTGAGCAAGTGTGAGAACTACAGAGGCATCACACTACTATAGGTACCAGGAAAGTTTTCAACAGAGTGTTGCTGAACCGGATCAAAGACGCAGTAGACGTCCAACTTCGAGATTAACGAAGCTGAAACTTGAAGAACTACTACAACATTCATTACGATACAACAAGTATTTAGAAACAATTTTCTACGTAAGATACTCAATGTCTGTTGACTGGATACTATCAGCAACAGCCTATTTCGAGAGAGAACAAACCAGCTTTCAGTTGAAGAGGAAATAAGGAAAAGACGTTGGAGGTGAATAGGACATACATTTCAAAAATCACCAAACCGCATCACGAAGCAAGTGCTGACTTGGAATGACGAACAGAAAAGAGGAATGACAAGGAACACCCTGCTTTGAGAATTGGAAACAGGCATCAAAAAGATGAGTAGTAACTGGAAAGAACTGTAAAGTATCGTCTAGGATAGAGTTGGATGGAGAATGCTTGTGAGCAGCTTATGCTCCTCCTCGAGGCGTAATATGAGTAAGTAATTAAAACCTTTTTGTTGAATTTTAGATCTATAGAAATTCAGTATTGTCATGCGTTAAGCAACGATAAAAATGAGATAGGCGGAGTAACAAAGACACTAATCCGTTTATATAAAACTTAAGTATTCAAACTCTAATTTAATTTATAAGTAATGGTAACTTTCATAACTGTCACGCCTACTCAGCGAAAGACATCAGTGGAAAACTAGGACAATTCTTTCCTAAAAAATATTTTAAAAACTATACATATCTTACCAACGTTTTTACATATTAAATACACACTTGGTTAGATCACTTGAAAAGTCTCAATTGCATTTTGAATGTTTATTATATTTCAGTTATGCAGTGCATGCACATGTTCGTGTGTGTGAAGGTCAGGATTACGGAAATAAATAGTTTATGTCCAACTATCATTGTTATACTTAATAAACAATTGGCTAATGTTTCTGGATGCTAGCATAGGAATAAATGTTACTAAACTAATGATCTATGTTTTCATCATTGAAATTAGACTGATGACAATATTCACAACAATATAAGCTACTTAAACTCATTATTTCATGTACTCGTGAAATATTTCTTTTCATTTTTTCACTTCTACTTCGTTTACTTCTCAACAGCTGTTATTATTCTGTTTTTTCTTAGTTTGTTTTTCTTCCTTCCTTAAACTCGTACTGACATTGGTAGGATTCAAAGAAATTTTGAATGAAATTAGCTATTACTATTAATCTCATCATGTTTATAAATATTAAGCGAAGTTACTTAATCGTTTATTGTTAAACGTACATTTCTATTGATTTGTTTTTTATTTATTTATTGATATTTATGTGCGCACTGCTGAGAAGACTTATACTGAAATAAAACAACCGTCCAGTGCTTCCAAGTTTTCAAGGTCGGTCTAACATTGATTCATTGATGATACGAATCTAAACTCAACAATCTCCACAACCCTATACTGATAATATTTATATATTTTAAGATTTATTTTACAATAAACTGACATTAGGTGTTTATCATCAGAATATTAGTTAAGAATTTAATTATAATAATATATTTAATGAAAAACAGTAAATTTATTTAAGAAATGAAAATTTTCAATTTAATAACTGTATATCATCCCAACATGTCAATTTTAATAGTTGAGATCATGAGTCAGTTGAAGCTAGACCACCGTGGAAAACCTAGAAGCACTTGATGGCCGTTTCGTCCTAGTATGTGCCTACTCATCAGTGTGCATCCACCATCCCGCCCCTCGATATTCTAATTCAGGACCTATTAGTCTCGCGCACAATCGCTTAACCACTATACCACTGAATCAGTATCCAACCGTGTTAATATCTAACAGCAACTAATCCACGAAGTTGCGACACAATCCACCATTGTCATTAATGAGTAGCTATCTCACAACAGACCTGATTGAACTCCACTGGTTACTGTTTCTCACTAGAACTCCAGGAAATACCTCTTGAATCCATTCACTAGTGAGCATATGTTGATGAATATCATAAGGGGTTTTGCGGATATTATAGTAATTTTAATAGTTGAGATCATGTGTCAATTGACGATTTTGATATTACCTGTATGTTACATTTAACATCTCTTCGAAAATAATGAATAAACTAGAGAAGAAAACACTCAAATCTTTTAGTTTTTTTTAAACATAAACTGAAATGAACATGGAGTCTATTTTATCAATAATCTTGATATCAAAATGATATTCCAAATACTTGGAAAATTCAAGCCAATTTTCAAAATTACTTTCATTTAAATTAGTTTATATTACTCATAGAATTTATGATTGTTTCAATTAATCATTTACAAATCTAATTACAAAACTATCAATGTCTAATATGGTTTTATGTGTGAAATACTTCAAAATTGTAGGTTTATAAATGATTTATTGGATGTGAGTTTTCACTTATAATGGAAATGTTTGGTTAAAATGTTAATTATCTTTCAACTTTACATTTTCACATTCTTACTAGTGCTTTAGTTTATGCTTCATATATACTCAATTTTATTTTACTGTTTTCAACAATATTATAATCAAATACTTGAAGATCTGTTCTCTTCTCTATTTCTTGTTAATTTAGTAAAACACTTATATAATTGTTGGGATACGAAATTTTAGGTAATCGGTTATATGTTTAATAATTCTTTAGTAAAACCCCAGAGTATGTACTATGTGATATGGTTTTAACTGTTTGGTGGTTAGTATCGTCTTTAAATTTGAACACATATCTTACTAGCAGTCCTTGAATGGTATGAAACACTGTACCTAAACATTTTATCAATTGTCATCAATAAACTAACTTGAATTAAATGGTACTAATATATATCAAGCCAGTTATCCTAACAGTTATGAACCAACAAGGACCTTTTACTATTCATTTGGAGATTAAAGTTTTAATTTATTATATATTCACTTTATAATGAAGTGGATGTGCAACAAACTACTCACGAGTATTCCGTACCTAATATACAAGTTTTTAGTTACAGATTCATGCCAATAAACGTACAGCTATATATTGGTGTTGATATACTTTAAAGAAGATAGAAATATTTAAGGGAAGAATATCGATGTAAAATAACTTATACATATTTTCTACTAAATTTTTCTTTTTTTTACATGTTTTTCAGGGCAACTGGAGCTACCTTAGGTGTGTTGGCTATATTACTTGTTTTATTTCTATTACTTTTGTGTCTTCCGTGGCATAAATGTGATCGATACTGTTCTTGCTGTCGTTGTTGGCTTTTTAGTTCAAATGACAATATTCATAGACAGTCAGATGATGCATTTCGTGCAGCCAGAATGCCTGGAGAGTACCGTGAGTTTCTTGTTTTCTAGTATGCAGTAGGTGTTGTTTTACATATTCTTTGGTAAACTAAGCTTTTTTTAATCTATAATAGAGAAGAAAATAAACGTTTGGGTTAGCAAACAGTAGGATTTTACTGGATAACCGGAGCAACTATTCATTCATTTGAGCACTCACAATTGTTTCACTCTGGTAAATCTATCTGACAAGCCTCAAATATTATGCAACAAGTATCCTGTATTTTATTGTATGGTATTAAACAATAATACGTTGTACTAAAAAGACCATTTACGTTTCATATATTTTGGGAAATATCAATATTTGAAACGATTTTTCAGTTAAAATGAGGTCGTCCTATTCCCATTATTCTTAACAGATGTTGAAATAATCTGTCTACTTATGAGTAGTCAACAGAGTCAATCACAAGGGATTTCATTATAGCAAATAGTTTGTAACATTCAATCTTTTACAGGTTTTAATCTAGCTTGTAGGTATCTTGTGTGTTGGGTAAGTATGAGGAGCAGCATGTGTGAAAGGATGTATAGGAGAAGCAGGGGATGAAAAGTAAAAAGACAATTTAGTAAACACATACAATGCACTTATGTTTTATAATGAAAATAATTGATAAGAGTTGATAATAACACAGGCGTAAGATAAAAACAATCTAATAATGTGGATCTAGAATTTGATAGTATAAGATTGAAAATTAAATACAGGCAGTTCATATAAGTGAAATGTAATTTGATAATTAAAACAGAAGAATAACCCTTTTTATTTCAAATATTATCAAAAAATAACTTGCATTATTGTTGAAATAAAATATTATAGAATAGATCACTTTTTGTATCACTAGTTTTCTGGGTAAATTGAATAACTTTTTATACTTGAACTGTGGTTACTCACAATCAAAGATGATTATGCAGACTTCGATTATTGATAAGGATGTTTTAGTTAGATTATATGGAGCATACCATTATCCAGCGACAGAATTTTGTTCATTTGTTTCGAGTGTAACTATGCTGACAGCTATCTCATGTTTTGATTGCCATCACTTTTTCCAACAGTTTAAAAATTCACATAAATGTGCAAATGATCTTTATCAGATTCTACCATGATACATCCAGAATAATGATTTACAAGAATGGTTCAATTTAAGGCAAATTTATTCTCTTTGTTTATTTGTTTGATACACTGTAGTAATATGTTCTGATGTAGTTCAATAGTCAAAACACAATCGGTGAACAGTTCATCATTTCAAAATCTATTTTTATTAATCAACGAATATCAATAGCTAAGAGTCAAATATTCACTATTGTGTTTCATAATATTTGTTAGTCTATCGAAAAGAATTTACAAGTTATACTATTCAAACATTAAAATCGTTGTCAGTAGGCGCTACATAGGTTTGTATAGGATATCTTTATGTATTATATGTAAATTTAGTATATATGAAGTTGAAATTTCTGATCAATAATCTATTTCTTCGGTGTTTAAGTAGACATCAATCATTATGAAAATGGGTTCTAGTGGTTATAATGTGTTACGTAGATATATATTTATTCAACACTTCTGTAAAAGAAATTGTCCATTCATTGTAATTATATAAAGCGAAATATTTCAGTATTGAAACGAGATACCATAATGAATTATATGTATACTTCTGGTTAGCGTTTTTTCTAGCGAGTTAATGTTCTACGGGATGGAGTCTATAACCCCATGGCCAACTATTGTAGACCGCGTGGTGGCTACTCTAAATTCTACCGATTGACCAACTGCAGATATCCCAGTATGACCTCAGTACTGTTCAGCGATCTCCAATATATCAGAACACGAACCGTTAGATGAAAATTGTTTATGACGTCAGGAGAATAATAATAATACCTAACAAACAAATACAAATTTATACAGCTAGGAGGACCGTGAATATTGACCAATAGGAAAATGACGCCATTTCACGTTCAAGGATAGCATTAGACCTAACTAGATGATTTTTGGGATATTCTTCCGAATATAACAACACCAACCCTCCCCATTCATCCGGGCTTGGTTCCTGTAGTTGCCCGAGAGGGGCTCTAGGCAGAGGAATCAACATCTGAAGGTAATCACGGGACACAATGGACATCTAGGATGCAGTTGGATGATCGGGACTTCGCAGATGATCTGGCTCTTATGTCGCAAACGCAACAACAAATGCAGGAGAAGACGACTAGTGTAGCAGCAGCCTCAGCAGTAGTGGATCTCAACATACACAAAGGGAAAAGCAAGATTCTCCTATACAACACAGCATACACCAATCCAATCACAATTGACGGAGAAGATTTGGAAGATGTAAAAACCTTTACATATTTGGGCAGCATTATCGATGAAAACGATGGATCTGATGCGGATTTGAAGGCGCGGATCAACAAAGCAAGAGCAGCATATTTACAACTGAAGAACATCTGGGACTCAAAACAATTGTCAACCAACACCAAAGTCAGAATTTTCAATACAAATGTTAAGGCAGTTCTACTGTATGGGGCCGAAACCTGGAAAACTACGAAACCCATCGTCCAGAAGATACAGGTGTTTATCGACAGTTGTCTACGCAAAATACTTCGGATCCGTTGGCCGGACCCTATTAGCAACAACCTACTGTGGGAGAGAACAAATCAGATCCCAGCAGAGGACGAAATCAGGAAGAAGCGCTGGAAGTGGATAGGACACACATTGAGGAAAGCACCGAACTGCGTCACAAGACAAGCCCTTACATGGAATCCTCAAGGCCGAAGGAGGAGAGGTAGACCAAAGAACACATTACGTCGGGAAATGGAGATCGACATGAAAAAAATGAACAAGAATTGGATGGAACTAGAAAAGAAGGCCCAGGACAGAGTGGGTTGGAGAATGTTGGTCGGCGACCTATGCTCCATTAGGAGTAAGAGGCGTAAGTAATATATATATATATATATATATCAAATTTGATCATTTCATCATCACTCATTGAGAAATAAAATCTAATCGCTTTTTACTTTCTCTTTATCTCCATAGCTATGCCAATGTTTGACTTCATCCCACCATCTGCTTTGCCTAAATTACCAAACTACGAAGAATGTTTAAATACTGGGCCACCAGCAAATGACGAAGCTCCACCTCCACCAACTCCACTTTCTTTTTATTCAGCTAATTCAAATGGTCAATCAGCTTTACGTCTTACTATCCACAGTCAACCCGATTTAGTTGCTCACATTAACAGTTCACAAGCACTTGCTAGTCCTTTATCTACACCTCCACCAACTTACTCATCAACTTGTTTGCAAAGGCCATCAACGACAAGTCGAACAGGTGAAGATACATCAAGAATAGTTGAAAACTCATCGCATACAACATCAAGGCAATTATCGGTGGACCGTTAATTAATTGTTATCTTAATTTTTTTTCTTAATTACGGTTTTGTACTCTCAAATTGATGGATTACCTGTCTCTCCATGTTATACCTTTTACCATTCTTTCAGTTGTGGGCGTTTTGATTTTTTCTTGTTTTAATTACAAATATAGAGATGAAAATATGTTTCTGTGATCATTGTACAATTATGTTAATATACTACTACAATTTTGGTGAGTAGTTATTAATCTTAGAGATAAAATAATCAGTTCAGATTTTTTCTAGATATTTTTTTACCAACCTTTCACATTCTTTCTCTTTTGAAAAATTTGACATATCAAGGATTTTCTGATAATAAACATTACAAGCATATACTTTCCTGGTTGTCTGCTGTTATATAAGAAAAATATATTTATATATATCAAACTTTTATTCGTTTTAAGAAACTATAATTCCAAATATTTCCTTTATACCATCAGGAAACATATCAAAGCCAATTTAAAAACTGTATTTCTGTACGTGTTTGGCGGGGCTCCCTGGACATTTTTTATTCTTGTTTCTGCTTGTCATTAAAATGTCAGAGAGGTTTGTCGAGGATTTATGTTGTATCAAACAGAAATCCCCATGTCTATCGCATATGTAAATGAAGTAGTACAGATCATTTACATAGGTGGGATCCGACATTTATTGAGATTGAATTTCTACATAACAGAAAAATTACTGAATATGAAGTCTTCTCAAAAAATTTAGTCGTCATTTGCAAGTAAAATTCTTTTAAATAACTTCAAAATTTCAAAACATTTTAGCAAAAGTTCAGGGCTCCTCTTGATATTATGTTTACTGTATAAAGCTATTTCCAAGTCTCTAAATTCGAAATATCTGAGTAATAAAATTTGCAGTTGCATAAGGAATTTTAGTATCTCATTATCAAAGAATCAGCTTAAAGGAGTATTTATGTAGTCCTCATTTTAAATACCTTTCAAGATTTTCAACACTCATAGCCTAATCAGAGATACTGTGGTGGTGCTACTTATATCGACATAAGTAGTATATTACGCTAGTCGTGACCGAATGTTTGGCAGCAGAGAGACAAGAGGATCAAACAGTAAAGTATGGAAACAGAATGCTCGGTTTTTTGAAATAAGGAAAGTTATTTTGCAAGATTTTGATCTTTTATGTTGGATAATAATCGTTGACATAACAACCATATGTAAATCAGACTAAGAGTTTCTAAAACTTAAATGGTAAATTTTTATCGTTTTGTAATCAAAGATTTTTTAAATGCATACTAGTTTGGAATTTTCGAATATTCTGAAAGATTTAATCAAATTGATTATGATTTGTGAAGTTAATAATGTAGACCAAACGCTTAGGTTCTATGAATGTTGTATTACATGAGGTCAATGGATGTCTCTGATAGATTTCATGTGATGTTTATTTAAATTGGTAATTTGTAGTGAAATAAATGTGCAAACTGTCTGAATGATCGGAGTAAATTATTTTGATCAGTAGCTGAAGTTCAGACTCGAGAGTTAAAATTATCGATAAGAGAAGTTGATCATTAAATGTAACACCATTTCTTTATAATTGCAACGATTTCAGAATAAAGTTCAATTTGTAGAATCTGTACTTAATGTTAATTCTTCTTACTGATGAACTAGTGAAAGATTATGTATATAATTAATTGCCAACTGTTAATTAAATTTATAATCTGGTTTAAATTGTCAATTATTACTTAGGGTATTTACTTATCGACTGTTTATACTTAGGATTTAATGAGTCACTGCGTGTATAACAATATTGGGGTGTACCTATATCTAACTGACGGGTACGGAATTGAACGAGTTATACTCTAAATCATCTCTTGATTGAAATTTTATTGTGACTGAGCCCTTAACTTTGGTCATAAAAATCTTTCGGGTTTTCTTAGTGTTCTCGTGCAATTCGTATTGTATTAATCAAATCAGATTGTCTGGAATTTAGGTTTACGAAGAAATGGTGTATTGAATAGTATGTTATATCTACTAAAGCAGCCTAAGGGTATTCGATGAGATATTTTAATTTGTTTGCGTGTAGATTATACGTTTTTTAACAAAAATGACAAGCCTTAAACTGCACCGGAAAAGTTAGCCTTCGAATTGACTTAAAACGTTCTCGATTACGTTTCATAATTTAACTATTCTGAATGTTCCTATTTCGCTGATGTAGATAACTTCCGTGCTTTTGGAGTTTTGCTCTCTGAGCCGTTGGTTTAGTCGTGAAGCTTTCATCGTTATTCTGAATAACATCATCAGCACAAACTTCAGGCAGAAGTTAAGTGTTCGAATTTCCGCACATGTGGTTCACAGCTTGTCCTGTAGACCTCGATTTTGATTGGTTATTGTTGACCTTAAATCTGTCATTATTTTGTTTGTATATCCGATTTGTTTGATTTTTTCCTATGTTTGTGCATAATTTTCCTGATTGGTTGATAAATTGGATCGATTTCAATGTGCTTGTTCATCGCTGATTGACCTGAGTGCCAAGGTTCTAAAAATTCTCTGGTGTTTTTGGAGTTGCCTCTATCCAAAATCTCCACATTTTTCCAATTCCCCACCATCTCATAACGTCAAAGCGAAATTCAAACACAAATATTATAGAAAACATTGATTCCGACACTTGACGGAATCTAAAGGAAAGAGGTTAACCAAACGCATCAGGAGACTATTTAAAACAGACAGAAAAAGAGCACAAATTCTTCCAACTGAAAATGAAACAAGTAAAACAAGTATTATGTCACAAGTTTCATGTGTTAAAACGTCTTGGTTTCATGAATGTCAGGTGTCGTTGATCGAAATATATTTGAATTTGAAGTAAAATTGATGTTTTCATCGTGAGCTCGATTTCGATTATTATGAACACACCATTTCCATAGGAAATATGTTACATCTTCCATTGCAAAAGATACGTGATTTCACAACATACTACCTTATCTAAAGTACCTGACTATTTTACGTAAATTACAATTTTCATTACACTTAACAACTCTTTTTTACAGGATTAATGATTATCACAATTTATATTAGGCCGATAACACTACCTTTAAAAATAATATCATCTTTGATGATATACTTTGCATGAATCAATATGATTCGATCTGCACTCAGAAGGACCTGATAAATATGAAATTAATCACCACCTAGTAATCAATCAATTTTAAATACATTTCATTCCCACGGGAAGTCAGTCACGACTCCGATAGCTCAGTGATAACGTCTCTCACTATGAAGCTAAATAATAAGGGATCTAATCCGTCAAGGAGTATCACTTCCTGCAAGAATACAATTAAACCTTGCTGATAAGTGCAAAGTATCATGAAACCTAGGTCCATAGTTTTTTGTTTACTACTTCCAACTACCATCTTGTATTCAATTACAAACAGTCTTTTATAAATCTATCAGAATATATCTGTTCAACTCACCATACGATTGTTTCTATTGTTTTTGTCAATCGTCTTTCAATAGTAGTGTATATTCTTCTATTATACTTTCACAATTTGTATTTACATACATAAATTATAATTAGCATGTATAATAATTAATATTAGTGAATATAATCATATTTGTTATTGCTAATTAATTGCTTTCATTAGTAAAATTAGTATTATTATAACTCCATGTAAGCTAATAACTGGTCATATTGGTCAGATTTAATAAAAATCCATTACTTAAAAACATACAAGTAATATCTATAATTTAATGTACATTTAAATTAATAAATGTACATTTTTTTGAATTCAAAATTTAATTATTTTCTAGTCAAATTATACATTATTATTTTATAATGAATTAGAGCAAATATGATTAGGTTGAATGATGTATAATGATTGGAATCTTATTGATTTGATTCATAATATTCAGTAATAAATATTGATTTTTCCTATTTTGATCAATAATGTACGAGTATATGTTTAAAATGGTAAAAAAAGTAAATTAATATCTAATTCTGATTTAATTTATTTCACGCTAACCAGAAAACAATTATTCAAACCATTTAAAACTCTTCTTGGAACCTCTCTGAGGCTACTGTCAGTACCAAGGAGGAATGTTAGGAATGGGGTTACCGACCCCATCCCGTAGAAAACTAACTCGCTAAAAACGTAATTATTCAAGAATATTCAAAATTTATTTGGTTAAATATTTGAAAGTTAGTTTTACTGGATAAAAAGATAAAGAGAATTCAGTGAAAAAAAGATTCTTTTTGACGAAATCATTCACTAAGGCTGTACATTCGTATATATATATATATATATATATATATATATATATATATATATATATATATATATATATATATATATATATATATATATATAGTTATATGGAAAATATATGTCTATAGGAAGATAGAAAAGATTGCATCATACATTGACTCGGGATTCTAAATTTCAAATGAGGTTGCGTACTAATCAACGGGTAAGGAGGGAAACAATTTATGGGTCAGATAATTGTCCAATTGACAGATATGAATAAAAACCTCATTTGACTATAAGAGTTTCAAATATATTTATGATGTAATCTTTTCTATCCTTCTATAGACAGATATTTTCTATATAGCTATACATACAAATGCATAAATTAAGTAAATGATTTCGTTGATAAGACAGTTTTCTTCACTTGTTGTTGTTTACTTGTATCTTCCCGTTGTTGTTTAAGACTGCAATTGATCATTATCATGTTGGCATATGTGCATCCTGTGCGAACTGTCTCGATATTGCCTGAAGTCAAATGCTTTATAAGCAAAGATGGATATTAGCTAGCAGTGGAATTCTAGATTGAACACCAACACTGAGACTCAGGTACATCCGGCTAACTAGTCTCAGATAGGACGAGACGCACGTCCTTGATTTCACTGCTAGCCACTATTCATCTTTGCTTGAAAATTTTCTACTCTGAATCCTCTTTAGTTTCATTCCTATATGTTACATTGTTTTTATTAGTTTCAATATTCTTTTTTTGTTAAAATGGAATATTCAAAGAGTAACTTACTGGAATAAAAATAGTTTTATCTATAAAGATCATCATATATCTTAGAAAGAACTCAGATTATGATGTTATAATAAATATAAGTTATTGTCATGAATAACATTAAAACGGCCCAAATTCAAAGCTCACCAAAATGCTTAGCAGAGTTTATCTGATGTTGCAATAACTTGGTAGATAATTTAATTGGTAAATACTAGAACGTCAGTTTGAGTAGTAATTATTATCATTAATAATAGTAATAATAATTAGTCGGTAAATAAAATGTCTGACTCAAAACTGAGCTTTTCTGTATATTCCCCATAATATTTTTCATAAAAAATCAGATAATAGTCGGCAAGCAGTGTATAATATACCAACAAGTCATGTACAACATCGCATGTATGCTAAAGTTGCTAATAAATCATTAATCCTTGAAGTACTCCAAATATCAATTAAAGTATCTTCAACTTTAATAATATGTATGCCTAATATCATGTAATA